ACTGGGCCGTAGCTTAACCCAGCCAGGGACTGGACCCTGATGGGCCTAACCGGGCGGTGGCTGGAGGCAGGTGGGGTGGGGAGGGGCCTCTCTCTGCTCTTGATCACCGGGTGGGCTGCTTCCCTTATCCGCCATGACGTCCTGCCTGCTCTCTATGGATGGAGACCTCTGAAACCGTGAGTCCCCAGATGGGGTTTCCTCCTCTAGGGTTGTTCTGGTCCGGTCCTGTTGTCACAGCCGCGAGAAGGCTGACTGCCACAGCCGGCCTCGTGGTTCTGGCGATGGAGCCCCGCGCTTCCAAGGCCCTGTGCGGAGCTGTCCCCGGCTGGGCTGCGTCCTCGGCCTCACATCCCAGGGCGATGCTCTTGAAGGCGGCCCCGGGCCCGCAGCAGCCGTGCCACCGGGCAGCGTGTTCAGAACAGTTTCAGGTCTCACCCCGAGTCCTATGGCCCTGAGTCCGATGGCCCTGAGTCCGAGTCGGGGGCCCAGGACTTTGGGTTTCAGTTCTCCAGACGACTCTGTTGCCATCCTGAGTTGGAGAAGCACTGTTCGCAGGGACTCGGTCGTCACTTTGTGTTTTTTTCTCTTTTCCTACTGATGACTGTGACTGACAGAAGTTTATTTTTGAACATAGAGATAAACATTACGTACCTGCTCAAGCAATGCAATCTGAGAGGCGCCGCAGGATTCTGGGTGCTCCGACATCCCCGGGGCATGAGGCCGGCGCCCTCTCTGTTCTTGTTGGTCCAGGCTGTGAGGGAATCTAATGTGCTTCAGAGGTCAAGACCTGAGGCAAGGGGCTGGTGCTATTTAGGATTTTGCTTCAGATGCTTTTATAAGAGAGACCTACAGTGGTAATGGGATGGACTGCTCGTCATAAAGTGCATTCTCCATCATGAGCACATCTAGGTGGGCAGCACTGCAGTTCACAGCCACGAGGAACCCAGGCTCTTTCTGTCTTGTTGCTCTGCCGTAGTCAAATTGAATCTTATGGTCCAATATGATTGCCTCAGCTCCCACCATCACATTTGCATTCCAGTCAGTAGGAAGACAGTAAAGGAAAGGGATTCATATTGAAGTGAGTAATGATGAGGCAGCATGATCAGAGCCACAGAAGGGTACATTCCAATACCCTGGTGTTGGGTTGGTCTTGGCATTCCGGCCCTTAGGGACAGTCCTCCTCTTTTTCTGTTCCGTTTTGTCCTCAAAGGAGCAGATGGTTCATGACAGTGTGAGGGAGATGGAGTGGGATTAGGTTATGCAGGGCCTGGAGATCCAGATGGGAATGAGGATGTCAGGACGCAGCCTCTGAGGATGCTGGGAGGGCATCCACCCAGATGTCACCTTCTCAGGAACCTCATCTGCCTGCTGCCGGGCTCTGCTGTGGGTGTCAGTCCCATGATGCCCAGGGCCTCCAAACCTTAGCTTTATGGGACAGTGACGTCTTTGGGGGCAGACCTCCTGTGTCCCAAGGCCTGCCACACAGTAGGCCTTCAGCCAATAGGCTGAGCAACATGCAAATGGACTACATCCTCCCTGACTGCTCAGTGCACCTGAGGGCGGAGGCACCGGAGAGCCCAGAAGGTGCTTGGCTGGACCTCAGCGCTGTCTCTGGTCAGTAGAGGAGAGCACGGGGGGGGTGGGGAGCTGAGGAGCCTCGGGTTGTGGAGCACAGGGCAGTGTGGGTGAGAGTCACCAGTGAGTCAAGCGCTTTGGAGAAGCCGGACCATCTTCACCCGTCCTGAGTCGGGTGTCAGAGGCCACCCCGACAGGCACACTGCTGCTGCGTCTGCGCCTCTGCTGCAGACGAAACCGTCCCGTTCTTAATCTGAAGCACTAACTAATGTCCTTCTGGATGCTTCCCTCCCCCTGCGTCCCCCACTGCACCCATTCACATTGGCATGTGGACGTGTTCCCACCGAGTGAGTCAGATGGGAACATTGGGCTATTGAACAGATGCCACTTTAAAAAAGCAACATCGGCAGCACTGCACAAAGCTCACCCGTCAGGCCTGCCAGGCAGCACCGCGCTGGTGGCAAGAAAGGGGTAATTTTGGTGAATTCAAAGGAGATAAGATGACTGTAATTAAGGAGGACGGCTGCTAAATAATCCCAGGAAAAAAGGAAGGCTGTTTTGCATCCTGTTGTGATGTGGGAGGGCGGGAGGAGCCCCGCAGAGGTAGGTGTGGGGAGGAGGCGGCGGTGCTCTCTGAGTCCTGACCCTGTCTCCAGCAGAACACGTCTCTAATCAAACAGGATCTTTGAAGGTCACTGTCACAGGGTTTGCTCAACTCCCAGGCTCTCTTTCCTCCATCCAGCCTTGGTTCCAGAGCTGGCCACATCCTCGGCCCCTGTGGAGCCGCCCCTTCTAGACTGAAGGGCGCTTCTCCGCAGGCGCTCTGTCCAGGCCCTCAGGGGCGATTCAGGTGTTTCATGGCTCCTGTGTGAACTGTCCTTATTATTTAATCTGTCCTGTCTTATCATCCAGATTCCCTAACCAGGTTGGCGTCTCCCCAAGGCTGGACCTCACCCCAGGGTTCCCAGAGTGCCCGGGCATGGTAGCCCTTAGTGCAGGCCGGTTGGCTGATGGCCAGGGGAATGCGGGGGCTGCCGCCTGCCCAGACGGGTGGGGTCTGACGGGCACAGCAGAGGAAGGCGGTGGATGTCTGCGGAGCTCCTGAGCTGGCCCCTGGCTGTGACCAGGCTGTCTCCACCAGGCACGTAGATTTCTGTGAAGGAGACGTCCTCAAATCAAGCCCAGGAAATGTCGATTCAGAGAAGGCAAAGTGGGTGTCCTGGGCCACAGAACTCTGCGGGGGTGAAGCAGGGGACCTGTTCCATCCCGAGGGGGCGTCTCCCTCAGCACTCCCACACTCTCCTTCTCACTTGGTCAGGGTCAGGAATTCTGCCCGTTTCACCAGTAGCTTGAAATTTGGTCCCTGCGCACCAAAAGCACTCCTAGGATGAGGAGTGAAGGCAGAGGAGTGCCCCCCACCCCTGCCACGTTCTGGTGCCCGGAAGCGGTGCCTTGGTTAGGAGCGGTGCACATGGCCAGGGTGATTGAGGCTGCAGAGGGCAGTGAGCGGGCTACATGGCCCACCTTAAAGTGTGCAGATTGCCTTGGGCTGTCCGAATGAGGCCCGTGTAGTAACAGGGTCCTTACGTGGTGGAAGAGGAAGACAGGAGGATGACTCCGCATGAGAAAGGTTGATGAGCTGCTGCAGCCTCGAGATGGAGAGTGGGTGGTCCCTAGAGCGGGGAAGGGCCGGGATGGACTCCCCTGGAGCCCTTCCAACACCTGAGGTCAGCCCGGGAGACACCCAGACTTCTGACCCACAGAACAGGAATCATAACATGATAATAATGTGGGAGCCCCTGGTAGAGCGCTGCTGGGAGCTCGTGCCCAGGGCAACGTGAGGGCTCCTGGTGCCGACTTCTGGCTGATCTGGGGATGGGCTGGAAGGGTCTGCAGAGGAGAATAGAATCCACTGGGCTTAGACCACGGGACAGAGGGAAAGGCAAAGAGAAGCCACCAAGGAGGAACAGACGGGAGGGCAGGGTGGACCCACCCCGCTGCCTCCCTGGGCCACACATGGGCCTGGGCCACGGCAGATGCCCTAAGTCGGGGACTCAGCCCAACAAGGGAAGGGAAGCCCGTGATGGGGGAAGGGCGGGCGAGGGGCGCGTGCAGACAGAGGTGTCATCAGGAGGAAGAGGTGGCGGCTCGCTCTGGCTGGGCCGTCCTCCAGGGTGTGCCACCTGTCCTGGTGAAGAGAGGCCCTCCTGCCAGGTGCTTGACTCCCGCACCTCGGCTCTCAGCCTCTCGGCCTGTGACCTGTTCGCCAACGAGAAGCACCCTCCTTGGGGTGGCAGTCCAGGCTCTGCGGTGGCCTGGGACAGGAATAAAGGTTTTGCCAGAAATGGACTAGAAAAAGTTCTTTTTCTGGAGAGCTCAGCTTTCCACTAAGAAAACTTCATGCAGAACTTGGAAGGATGAGGGGCGTATCCTCCTTTCCACCTAGACTGTCTTCATTCATCCATGGGAGAGCAGAGTCCTCATGGCCGATTGCTAAGTCCTCTCATGACCGGAGCCAAGATCTCCAAGTCTGTCACTGTCCAAACATAGGTGTTGCCCCTGCGCCTTGGTCCAGACAACGCTTAAAAATGGAACCTATTTATTGACTCGGATTATTATATTAAACAAACCAATCTACAACCCATTTCCTCTAAGCATTGGAAATGTTAATCATGGAAACCAAGTCTCAAGTTCAGGACACGAGAGATGTCCGGTACTTTACCCTTGTTACTGTCTCTTTCTCTGATCCTTTTCTATTCTCATTCTTTTTTCATACACACATACAGGCATGTACATACTCAGACACACACACACACACACATACACACATATTCTAATAGCTAAATTTTGATCTACCTGCATCAAATCATCCATAACCACAGGTGGAGGCCAACTAACCCAGCTCCCTTGAACAGACAATGAGATGAGATTGGGACCAATAGAGAAGACCAGTGGTGACAGCAAGAACCCACGCCCCAGGCCTCCGGGTGTCCCTCAGAGCCAGGGCCTTTCTGTTGAACTACACCTGGGCACAACAGATAAGTGGCTGAGGATTATGGAAACCCCGGAGCGCGCCCAGAACCTGCCTTCCTCCTCCTCTGCCTCCTCCCACCGCCTGGCCCCTGCTCTGGGTTAATTAATCAGGACTGTGGTGGTTTTTCAACCAAGGTGGGTGGGAGCAGATGCTTCCATGTCTGTTTTGAACAACCACACCGAGCTCAGGCAAAGTAGGGCATGTTGGTGTTGGTAGACCTTCTAAAAAATTAAAGATAAAAATGTTCATTAGTTGGGAAAATGTTATATAAATTGTTATATCCATGCTATAAAAATAGTGTGGCAATTTAAAATAATGAATTAGCTTTGTTACACTGACATGGAAAAGATGTATATTCAATAAGAATCAAGTCTCAGAATATGATGTCTAGACTTATCATATTTTTATTAAAATACATAGAAACATACATGGAAAGATATGCACCAAATTGATTTTTTTTTAATTATATGTGTAGGAAGGTGAAGGGCACTCGTACTTTTTTACTTCGGGAAATGGTGTTTGACGTTTTGGCAAGAAGCACCTTCCTCGAGTGATTTGAAGAATATCAACAGAGAAGGGAGTTGGCCTGGGACATGGGGCTAACAGGACGAAAGGTGACCACAGACCCAGTAGGAGTGGCTCAGCCGTGGTGACCGCCGTGCACAGGTCAGCCCTGAGCAGACCCGCAGAGTCCACACCTTGACCGACCCCTCACCCTCAGGTTCCTGCCCTGGCCTCCTGTCACCTCACTCACTGGCTGGGGAGCTAAGCCTGGCTCCAAGACCCGGGTTCAGATGAGTAGCCATGATTCCTGGGCACCCCGGCTGACTTCCCAGACCCTGGCTATGTGGTGCCTCAGGGCAGACATCAGGGCTCTCCCCCACCACATTGTCCTCCGCGTCACCCTTACCCTCAGGCCTGGACTGTCACAGACGCCTCCTGAAGGCTCTCCAGCTGGCGAGGTCCTGCGTCTGGCCCAGCTCATGCCAGGGCCTTCTTTGGGGTCGGATGACTCTCCCACAGCCCCAGCGTGAGGCTGGCCTCTGCGCATGGGCAGGTCCACTGCCTAGAGGGTCACCACTGCAGGCTGCCCTGGGCCTTGCCTTCTGCCTGGGATGCTCAGGTGTGGTCAGTTTTTGGAATTCAACAGGGACATGACTCCTGCTCTTCCCACTCCTTATAAGGCCAGCCCCACTCTGCCCCAGTGTTTCCCCAGTCCATCCTGCAGGGTATTTCTCCTCAACAGCCCTGGACCCCTGAATGACCCTAAGGCCAAGTTCCCCAAACTGAAACACAGTGTTCTGGCTCATTTCTCTAAGATGCTTTCTTGGGTGGCTCTGTCCACCAACTGGACAGTGCTCCAAGATGCAAGGGACGATTGTAACTTTCTAGGACTTTTTATAGCTCCCACTTCATCACTTGATCCTTTTCCCCTTACTCCCCAGTGTACTGAATGCCCAGATCTGGAATTGGGATCTAGAGCACAGAACCCTCCACCTCCTCTTCCAGCAGCTGGGCACAGGCTGCCGTCCATCCAGAGCAGCAGGAAAACCGGCCTTGGATCCAGAAGTTTCACTTAGTGGATGAAGCAGACACCTGCCCTCTCTGGACCTTTTATTTTCCCCCCAATTAACACTGAGAATACCCTTTGCAAGGTTCTTAAGAGGACTAGAGATAATACCCATGAAAAGTAGCTTAATGTGAAGCTGCTGAGGTTGAAGCACAGGTTGGGATCCCAGCTTCCTTCCTGCTTGGTCCTTCGCTACTCCTCCCATTCACAACTGCTCCCCCATCTCAGGTCTGCCTGAGCTCACAGGATGAAGATCCTACCCTAGACACTGCGGAGTGCTCGCCTTGAGCTCAGACTAGGACCACTACCAAGCCTCAGCTGAATTCTCAGTGTGTCTGTGACCTGAGGGCAGGTGGGAGTACCCTGACCAAGGGTCCTGGCGTTCACAGGACTTCCCTGCATCAGAGCAAACTCCTCAGGACCCAAAGAAAGGAGAAGCAAGTAGACAGAAGATAGCGGTTAAAAAAAAAAATGCCCGAAGTGCTACAGAGAAGATTTGTGCCCGAGGATGTTAATCACAGCATTCATTAAAAGCAGGAAGAGATAGTGTCAGGGGGAGTGAACCAAAGTCCAGCCAAAGAGGAACAGTTAAAATTATGGTGCATTGGTTCACAGAGGCTCCCAGGCAGATACTAACACACCTTGGGAGGTAGGTCTCATCGTGAGAAAGGTTTTCATGACGCAGTGCTCGGTGGAAAATCATGGCACCGCATATTTACCCAGCAAGGTGGGAGGTATTGTTGGTGATTTTTTTTCTTTATAATTTTGTACAAGTTTGTGTTACTTCTACATCAGAGAAAAAGATCAGTAATCATTTTAAGATTCTATGGCTAATAAGAAAATTTAGCTTAGCAGGGGAGACCCAGTTCCCTAAGGATTCTGGAGAAGAGGACCAACATACAATCTTGGTTTGCCTGGGACTGAGTGTTCCTGCGATGTGCCACGTTTAATGCTAAAACTGGGAAAGTCTTGGGCATAGCAGGACTAGCTGGTCACCCCAACATCAGTGAACCAGGTCCTTGCCCTGGAGCTGTGGAGCAACAGCCTAGGCTGGAGTCCTTGGGGTTGGCACTGGCCTAGGATATGTGGAGCCCGCCATGCCAGCACGGGCCTGAGGTGCAGAGGGCCAGGGCCTAGGAGAGCCAGGGCCCGGGCAGCCTGGCTCAGGCCCAGTGCAGATGCCCACTCTGCATAGCACTGCAGCTTAGAACCCCCAAGCATCCACCATCCAACAACCTCCACCTCCCGCCCCCCACAGGGGTAGGACCATGGAAGTGGGGCAGACCTGCCTGGAAGGTCAGCTCAGGGCTGGTACTTTTCCAAACGCTGATTAGCAGAACTTTGTACCAAGAGCATCAGTATTTTTCCCAACTCTTATTATAACTTTGGACCAATAGTGTTGACCCAAGGGCTGTATAAACCCTGAGACCAGCAGCCGCAGGTGATAATCCCTGTCGCGATCCTCTCTTGCTATTGCCATAGTTTTTTCTGTTCTCCACACTTGAATAAATCCTACTTCTGTCACTCTTGACTTTATTGTCCTGTGAATTCCATCCTTCTGATTTGCAAGCAGAGAACCCTGAAAGAGGTTTGTGGTGAGTCCCTACCTCTGTTCCAACACGGGAGAGTCTGGCCTACCAGTTAGGGCTGCAGCACATCACTCAGGGGTAGTGCCGAGGAATCCAGCTTTGTGGCCTGTGACTCTGGGATCCTCGGAGGTGACACCCTGCTGTGATCGGCTGCTAACACTAAAGGGGGCTTTCTCTGCTGTAGAAGGCCTGCAGCTTGCAAGGGCCCCACCCCAGAGAATCACACTTCATCTCCAACTCTGGTTTTCTCATTACCGATCTGTACCCAAGTGTGTACTGCAGCTTCTCTAGAGTGGAGGGTCACTGATCCAGGGGTCAGGGGAGAGTGAGCATCACGGACCTTGGACCCCTAGGTTACATGCAGGACTGCAGCTAGAATTTCTGTAGTAGTTGAGCTCAGCTAGCTGGGCTTGGTGCTAAAAGCCACCGAACATAGATTCCAAGAATGTCTCCTCAACCTTTTGGGAGGGGACTATTCTCCAGACAAGGAGGCAGAATATACGCGTGGAAAGGCCTGTCCTGAACTTGGGCACTTTTCATTAAACCCGTGGGCTTGTGCGATTAAAGAGGAACCACTTACAGTGGTTCAAAGGGGCACTGGACTTCCCTTGCCGGAGATCGGGAAGTCCCTGAAGGAGCCCTACCTTGATGCTACAGAGACTAGAGCTTCGGTTAATCTCCACAGGAGCCTCATCCAGTATATTTAGGTCCCTACCTTTTATGGAAAAATAAAATATTTAGCAGAAGCAGATGACTGTGCTGGGGATCGAACTGCCAGGGTCATGCTTGAACGATTCTTGCCCCACCCCCAGCAGTACTTTATTAAGGTACAATTTATATACATGTGGTGAAACAGCCAACCCCTAAGGACATAGCTCACTAAGTGACGGCAAATGTCCACCCTGAACCTCACCTCATCAAGATCAAGACCTAGAATGTTCCATGAGTGCCGACCTCTTATCAGAGGCAACAACTATTCTGACTTAGGTTAGCAGAGATTAAACTGAATTAAATAGATTCAGAAATGTGGTTACAGAGCTTGGAAAAGAACTTGAAATAATGGAAGTGATCATTGAGAAATGAAGATGAGAATGGTCAAAGGTGATAAACAATGGCTTTAGAAAAATGGAAGACTTCGGAAGGCAGGAAACTTGAAAAAAATCAAAACAAAGTAGAAGTGGAGAGATGATTGGATTTGAGAGAAGGTGACACATCTTGAAGAGGCAGGAGACCTACCGCATGGCTACTAGAGTCACTGTAGGGACACATGTTCCGTCTCCCCAGTTCCTCCACGTGGGTAACTGACTTCTTCAAGCTCCTTCATAACCTCCACACAGAGTCTACTTAAAAAGTCATTTAAAACTGAGGAAGAAAAGGAAGAAGAAATAAGGAAGAGAGTGCAAAGTAAGGAAAAAAGAAAATAAGAAAGAAAACGTGAACTCCAACTTTGAATCCATGAATCTGAATAGAGTTGGTGGGAGAAGTCGGCTTGCTCTTACTGGTTTTAGAACTCTGAAGTTTGCAATCTCTAGAAAATAATTTGCATTTTAAAAACATAGTTCTGAGGCCTCTAAGCGCCTTGCCCACAAGGTGCGCAGTGACAGCCGAGGTGCACGGTGACAGCCGGGTGGCAGTGAGGCTTGGGCTGCCGGTTCCCAGGAGAGCTGTGTGCCTTGGCTGTGGGCCCACAGCTGACAGATACCCACAGCTCCTACTTCAAACCATTGCCCTGTTGGTCCTGGCCACCTCCTACAGAGGACCCCAGTGAGGAACAGGTCTGGTGATGTGGGCAGTGGCCCCCTTCAAGGTGAGGTCTGGCTCAGCCTGTTTTGCTGATGGACTTGGACACCTCTCCCCACTTGTCTCCTCCATGCCTGGGGCATGTTTTCTCTGCTTGGATTGATGGACACTTGGACATTCTTCTCCACTCCTAATGTCCTATCCTCCTTGGTCTCCTTTCTGAAGGTAGACACGCTCCCCTTCGGCAAACTCCCCACAGTCTGTTGGTGACCTCTGGGGCTTTCTTTGGGAAGAGATGCAAAGAGAAGAAAGAGCTCCCAAGCTCTGCACTCAAGCCCTGGCCCCACGGTTTGTAAAGTACACGATCAGGTGCCCTTGTCTCTCAAAGACCCGGGAGAACAGCGTCTACCTCCAGGATGGCCGTGGGCTTTAGCAGGGCACAGGAGACTAACACACACTTGGCGCGTGGTGGCTGCTGCCTGTCTCCAGATGGGCTGTGGGCTGACTCGTCTCTGGGTGAACTCGTGTTTACAGGATGACAATATCCATGCCATCTGTAGTAATTTAACACTGATTAAGAACTCAGAATGAGAGACAAATACATGGCACAGATCTGGTTTGAGATTTCTGACATCCCAGATTTGTTCTGTTTCAGAATTGAGAAAATAGTTTTTGCTCAAATCTGCACTAACTTTTTAATAAATAAAAAATGGAATATGCAATTTAGGTGGTAGCTGAGAAGGAAAATCCCATCTCCTTGGGACTCGCATTGCTTTATTTTGCAGAACTCACTTCCTTGTTGAATCAGGGCCTCTGTCAAGACCTCTACACCAGAAGGAGTCACCGAGACTCTTTGGTGAAGAAAAGCCTGTGTATTTCTTCCTGTCACATTCCAAGAAACCAGTCGGCCTCAGCAAGCCGGGGCCTCAGCGAGAGGAATGGTCCAGGGTGAGGTCAGGGCGGGTTGGCTGCCATCCGCACCTGAAGACGGGGAGTCAGGCTGACCCACTGGGAGGCTCCTGCTGCCCTGGGCACTTCGTACCACCTCCAGGAGCTGCAGTTTTCCTGCCCATACGGTGAAGCGCTGGAGATTTCACTGTGATTCCTGCCCTGGAGTTCACTCTTGGTACTCTCCAGAGCACACGGGTTGCCATGTGTGAGGGTGAGCCGTGGTGTGATGTGCAGGAGGACCGGCGGGCCTTCCCAGGTGACTGGAAAGAAGGCGGATTCAGTCAAGGATGGAGAAGTTGCTGGGGACAGGAAGGAGGCATCCCACAGAAGGACATGGAGCAGATGCTGCAGGTATTCTCCTAGAGAGAAAAATGGGGACACTGAGGAGAATCATAAATAGGAGATTCCAACCCTGGAAGACAGACCACAGGAGCTCGTCACAGTACCCCGAGAGACAGCTCAGCCAAGGCCCCCCTTCCTCCCTCACCTAGAGCGGAAGGGCTTCTCACCTCCTCAAGCAACTCGTTCCGTTTTCAGCAGGTTCTGATTGTGAAACAGCCACTTCTTCGGTGGGTTGAAATGCAGATTTCGATAGCAGCTGGTCACTGACCTATTTTACTCCAGAGCTACAGAGGCTACAGTTCTGAGGCTCCTTGACTTTGGAGATGGCAGATACATACCTCTGGAACCTTCCTTCCGTCATGGATATCTTCTAGTTCTCCTTAGGAGAAACAGAACCCTTTTCCCTTCGTCTTGGATCTCGTTGGATGAAAGCTGGCCTTCTGTGGCCGGCCCCAGCCCTGTCTCCATGAGTATGTCTGTCCATAGTTCTCTGCTGGGGTTGTATTTTCTTACTGAGTTCATTTATTGCACAGCTAGAAGCTGTGCATCTGAATGTGTCCAGGCTTTGGTCTGCGAAGGCCCACAGCTCAGTCTTCCAGGTGAGTCCCACGGTAGAGCTGGTGAGCACCAGGCACTGACTCCATTATTTTCAAACAGAAACTGGTGGTTGCCTACATTTTTCTTCGCGGAAAACTCATGTACATTTGCAGCCCTGGTACCACTAAATAGTTACTGCTGGTCCCGTTAAAACCTTAGTCGTTAACATTTCCACAAACCAATTCAGTAGAATAACCTCACACAAAAATCACATCGGATATCTGATGTAGCATTAGCATCTAGGAAATAAAACAAGAATATCCTCTTAAAGAGAAATTTTGTCAAGGTGTTGCTCAATATATTAAACAGGTAATAGAGTGGGAAGAGCAATGAATTTGGAATCATAAAAAAATTGAGTTCAAATTATAACTCTGTTACTTACTATCTGAGGGACCTTGGGCTTTGGGAGAATTAGATTAGATAGTAATGAAAAAATATCTGGTACAATCCTTGATGCTTGGTAGTTACACAATAATTGTTCCTATCCTGTGTTAGTTGCATCACTGTAACAAAATACCTGAGATAATCAAGTTAAACAGAGGAAAGGTTTATTTGGGTCACGGTTGTGGAGAACTTCAGTACGTGGTTGGCTGGCCCTGCGTGTTGGGCCTGTGGAGAGGCAGCGCGTCCTGATGGGAGTATGTGGTGGAGGAAGCTGTCGGCTCCCGGCAGCTTGGGAGCAAACAGAGGAGAAAGAGCTTGGTGTCCACAGTCCTCATGAGGACATGCCCCACTCTGTGACCCCAAACCTCCCTCTGGGCCTGACGTCCTAAAGGTCCCACCACCTCCTACCAGTGCCAAGGGCTGGGGACGCAGCCTTTGGCCCATGGGCCTTCTGTGGCATACCCAGTTCTTTTTCCTGGACCCCATCCTGCCCTGACTTCCTGAGACTCTCTGGCAACCTTAACGTGACAGGTTTTCTTACCTTCATTAAAATTCTCTGGCTAAGGAACCTCTCAGGTCTTCAAGGACACCTGCCCCTGGGCATGTCCTTGCCAGGCCGTGACTCCTCCTCTGGGGCCTGCTGTCCGTCAGGGTGCCCACCTCACATACTGCCACTCCTGCTCCGAATCATTCGCCTGCCTGGTGACAGGGCAGTGACCGCGGTGGAATAACAGGAGGCTGCTGGCCACTGGCCGAGGCTGGACACGCATTCCTAGTGGGCTGAGCGGGGCGTGGAGCTCACAGCTCTGGCGCTCGAGGAGAGCCAGCTGGACCCTGCTTCTTGATGCAGTGGGAATCTGCAGGGAGCCCACAGAATACCAGAGTAGGTTTCTGTGAGGTGTTGGTGGTCGGCAGGACTTGGTTCCACACAGGTGTGTCCTGCGCTTCTCTGGTGCCTGGCAGGCGCCTTATTCCATAGGACTGACTTCGCCTTGTTAATACAGAGACTGAACTGGCCCAAACAGGCTGTGACAAGTGACATCAGCAACAGCTGAGGTCCCCACACGACCGAGACTGGAGATGTGGGACACAGGGTCCCCGCTCCTGTGGCGGGGGACTAGGTCAGCCCCTCCCTGCCTGGTGGGTATGCGGGGGCAGAACCTGGTCTCTGGTTCAAATCCTGGCTCTGTTGTTTGTGGAAAAGTAACACCAGCTTCCCGGGTCTCGGTTGCCTGTCTGTAGAATGGAACTGATGAGCAGCCTACTACTGCTCACTTCTTACTTCTTATTAATTTAACAAACACAATCGAGAGTGTTGCGGCACTCTTCTAAGTTAACGGAGGCGAACGTTCCACCACAGATCCTGTTTCTCAGGCCTCAGAACTGCCCCTCACACCTTCCGCACACGGGTCCTAGCGTTGCCACGAGGAACAACGATACGATACAGGTTTCATCCTGATTTGCATATTCGCAGCCCTTAACCTAGCAGTGATTTTAGCCGTGAGTTTCACTGCTTTTGATCAAACAGGGGCAGTTCTTTTAACTGCCCCAGATACGCAGATGATCACCGGCTGTATTCCCGGGGCTCTCCCAGGGGCCATGCAGGAAGCAGGGAGCCGGGTGGACTCGGATCCACACAACATGGGGGCCTGGTTCTCTCCTGGTGCCGCCCCGAGTTCTGCCTGGCTGCACTCTTGACTCCTTGCTCCTGCTGTGGAATTAGTGTTCACACTTTATGAGCCGAATAGACGCTAGTTGAAGCTCATCCTCTGACTCTGCTCCATCCTCTGATCCACAGGGGTCCTGCTTGGTCAGGACCCTCACTGCACTAACTGGGCCCAACCCCCGCTGGACCTGGGGGTTTTAAATCAATGTCCGTTTTTACTTGTTGAAAGGGCTTTGCTGGATTTTCCCTAAATTTCTTGAACTCTGAGCGTGACTTATCCATAGTAAGGGATCAAAATAAACTGCCTGAGTGTTGGTGGCTCTGAGATCCTTGATTGTAATATGCTCCAAGGTTTCAGGGGACACACTCTCCACCACGCTTTCTCAGGGTGTGCCTTTATTCTTATTGAGGGAGCTCTTTTAGACTTATTTAACTACGACTCCCTTGGTTCTGTGATCACTCCATGCATATAGAGCAGCTAGGCCCCTTTTGTTTCAAAAGTTTCTTCTTTATTAATAAAATGCCCCAAAGCCCAGGAGCTTGGTGGATTTGGCATAGCCCCTGGACTTCCAACTTACCTAGGACTCTGACACTCAGAGGTCACCCTTCAATGCTCCGACAAGCAATGTAGCATTGCTCAGAAGCATTTTATCTGTGGGAAGGGGAATATTTACTTGTTGCCAATGAAACTTCAGTTTTCGGGCTTCTTGCCAGCAGACCCCCTTCCTCCCTCTGCACAGATCACACTATAACAGAATTTTGTCACGTGGAAAGGCAGTCAAAGAATATGCAGCCACCAAATCTAGAAAAAGTATAAAAAGTCATGCTGAGTATCCACCAACCACTTTCCTGGATTTTTGTGTTTGTCAACTTTTTAAAAATCGTAATTTATCATGATTTATTTTCTCTTTCTTCATTATTATTACATCTAATTTTATATTCATAATTTTACATTTTTTCCCTGAAAAGAGATCTGCACGTTGCCTGAATCTTGGGCCCGTAACACCTGGATCTGCCCGATTCTTAGATAGATTTTTGTTGTCCTTGTTTAAATTTAAATACGGTGGCAGCGCGAGGCCCCTGGCGGCACAGGTTCCATTAAAGTGACAGGCTTCCTTCTTATCACAGGGCTGGAAGTTTTGATTTGTTAGCTTCTTTAACACTCATGAAAATATTTTGAAATATGCCATGGATTCATTAGTCTTTTCTACTTGACCAAGCTCAGTTTTGTCTTTTTCTTAACGGAATCACAGGTTATCCTATGTTAAAAAGAGTCTGTTCAAAGCCAGCTGGAAATTTCTTAAGCATTGATATTCTGCCTGATGCGGGAGTTGCTCACACCAGCCTCTCATGGCTTTAAGATTCTTATCCCACCACCTTGCAAGTTTTTCCTGCCCTTGGTTGACCTGTGTTGCCGGGCGGGTGTGGTTTGTTCTAGAAGGTTTGTGTGCTGGAGGCTTGGTCCTCAGTGGGGTGGTGTTGAGGTGGAGGGACCTTGGAGAGTTGGGGGCTGTGCAAGGTCACTAGGTCATGGGGTGCTGCTCGGGGGGATTGCTGCTGGTTGGCCAGTGAGTTGTTCCTGAATGGGCTGTTACAAAGCAAGGCAACTGTTGTGCCTCCCGCTTCTGCCCGCGGCCATGTCCTTCCTGTTCTCCGCCATGTTGTGATGACTGGGCCTTCACCAGAGGCCAGATGTCAAGATTAGATAAATGTCATGTTTCTCATCAAACTTTCTGCCATGAATTTTAGCTTCCATGGATATCCTGGGACAGTTTCTATAAATATAGTTTTATTGAAACACAACCATGCCTGTTCTTTTCTTTTTTGGGGTACTGGGGATTGAACCCAGGATCCCTTGACCACTAGTTATTCTTTTTTTAAATAAAAAGTTCAAGGCTGGCCTTGAACTTGCTATCCTTCCTCAGCCTCCTGAGTTACTGGGATTATGAGCCAGAGCTATCACACCTGGCTCATACCTATTCTTTATGTATTTTCTGTGGTTGCTTCTTTTGCTTCAACAGAAATATTGAGTATTTGCAACAGTGACCAACTATCCCACAGATTTCTAGATTATTCACTCACTGGCCCTTTAGAGAACAGCCTGCCAACCCTTGCTCCTAAGAGCCGGGTAATCTATACTTTAATAATTGCAGTTTTTTTTTTTTTTGAACTGTTGTAGTCTGTATTTCATAGTGTTAGTTGGACTTTTATATCTTATTTTTAATATAAGATTATGAAATTTACAAAAGCAGATGATAAACCTGCTTCTTTGAAATGCCAGCTGTGTAAACTGTATAGAGTGGATTCTCACATGAACGTCCAGTAGATCTTCTGGGATATTATGGCTAATTGGAAAACTTCATGATGATATAGTGCACCCATGATATTCATAATAATGATCATTTTGAGCTTGATTCTCTGACTCCTTTGTCTCTCAGTTTCTTCAAACACTCCAATCAGACCAGCCTTTTGAAGGACAGCTCTGAGTTTCTCATCTCTGGTTAAAAGCCAAACACAAGTGAAGCATTTTACAATCTATGTGTTCTGAAGAACGAGGCCTGCGTTTCTTGGTCTGGCATTTGGAGTCATTATGAGCTGGACTCAAACAGGTAGAATAAGGAAAGATGTGAAGACAGGAGTCGTCTTAGGAAGGGGTAGAGGTTGGGGGCTTTTCCGACATCTCTGCTCCTCGCGGCCTCTTTTTCAATATCTCCAATATCTCCAACCACTAGCTCTTCACTAGGAACGGCTGATGTTTAGGCTTCTCTTCAGAACACAGGCACACGGCCATTCGCATCCTCGATGGGACTCTCCCTGGCTCCAGATCCTTATGCTCCAATTTATATTCCATCCCTTTAAGTCTTAGGACTGCAGAAAGTTCCTCCTGCCATGGGTCGAAATTAATCTTTCCTCCTTTGGACAGTCTGCTTTACCTCACTTCTCCTGTGGAGCTTAGAATTTTTCTGAATTACACTTCACTGGGTACATGCTTTATCTGTCCCTCATTTTTATATATCTGATTTTTTTGTAGCTGAATTTTTACAAAGGGGGCCATGTCAACTGAGTGCATGGATGGAAGACGTTGCACATATGATTTACTAAGTTACCTTCTTTAAAAAAAATTATTGAATTAAAATTTTAAGTATGAAAAACTACATTTTAAATAGGAGCTGAAGGTAAGGTCCAGAGCATGAGAGAAGTACTCAGACAACCAGAGAAACACCTTCTGCACCTAACACGCAGCAGGGCAGTCAGACTGGGGACTGCTGTTGCAGGTGAGGTCGTAGGCAGGGTCGAAAATGGGTTGGCCTACTTGGTGCCTTTTATTTTCTCTATTAAGGAAGAGCCAAGATCATCTGTTAAGAATGAGGAAGGACAGAGGTGAAGAACAGGATCTGATGTAGATTGCAGAGGCTAAGCAAACATTGGTGTGTGTTAATTCAGTGTCAGGTTATCGTGTGTTAAATAAAAATCACAGGGGACCATTGTTTTGGACTGAGCTCCGGCCTTGGGTCCCAACAGAGCAGGCTAAACTCAAAGTCCCACATCACCATGTTGGAATTAAGTTGCTCTCTGACCTGTAAGAAGTCAGAAGAGAGCGATGAGCACTTCTCCCACAGGCCAGTTTGAACCGGTGCAACTATTCCCTGCTTCAGTCCTTACAAAGCGACCTGCAGTGGCCCAATATTATCCGTCTTCTGTCCTTCTCTCTGTCTGTCCCTGCCTTAGGAAGAAAGTAGCTTTGAAACTCTATCATCTGCATGTCCTTCTTTGCCTCTGCTTTTCCCACCTTCGCTCTCTGTAAAACCAACCTCTTCTGCCTGGCTCACTGGAACCCTCATCCCATTGGAGGAGGGAAAAGTCCTCCATCCTAGAATCTCAAGGAAGGCAGTCAAAGTCTTGAAGCTGAATCTGTTTGGATTGTCTCTGGACACAGATGAGAGCATCGGAAAGACAGGGAGGCAGGGAGAAGAGCTTTGGCAAGACGGTCCCTGAGTGTTGGCTGAGTGAGGACAGGTGTGACCAGGGCTCCTTGGGGGGAGGTGGAACTGGAGAGCGTGTGTGGATCAGGGGCAGGTGAAGCAGCGTGACCAGTGCCCCCAGAAGGGTGGGCCGGGTGTGGACATGGCAGGTCTGCACTAGAGTCCTCAGGAGGCCCGTAGTTAGGAGCGTCTGGGGGTCAGGAGGTGCCACAGGAGTGGGTAGCTGAGGTGTGATGGTGAAGGTCCCTGGAGATGTGAACCAACTGCTCTGCAAGAGTCCACTGTGTGGACACCGAGGTCACCCTGAGCAGAAGGACTGTGTGGCAGAGTTAACGGGCACTGTGACAAGTCCTAGGACGGTTGGGCGAGAAGAGCACAGGAGACAGCAGCAGATGGCCACCTGGTGTTTCAGCAGAAAGAAACTGGGTGTTTTCCAGATTCTTCCACACCTCCCCCCACCCCGCCAACAGTAAAGCTTATCCCTCATCACTCTGTGGATCCTGGACCCCTGTCCGCACCTACCCTCACTGTCTCTGGCCTCTGTGACCACAACAGGTGTTTCCTTTGTTTCAGTTCTAGTTGGTGAACTGGTAAATCTTCCTTCCTGGCTCTTGTGCCTGACACTGTGGTTGCCTGGTTCCTGCTTTCTTATTGTTTCTGTAACCAACAGTGCATTGGGTCCTATTGTCCCTTGCTGCTTAGGCGCCACTGACCCACATTTGTTTGCTTCTGAGAAACGAGATGCACCAAAACAGTACTTTCATGAAAACCACCGTAGAATACAGAATCCAAAACATCGTTTTCTTGCAATGCATGGGAAGGGCGTGTCCAGATTTACTGGCACCAGAAGACATTTCCCACCAGGTGCACAATCCCTTTATGGATGACGTCTCTCTCTCATTCCTGCCGGGCACATTCAGGATCAGTCAGTCTCCTCATTAGCTCATGACAGTATCTGTCTTTGCAAGAAGGTCGCTTTTAATTTAATAGCCAGGAATATCAAATGGAAAATTTACTGGAAGAAACCTGGTTCGTGTAACGGTTAACAGAACAAAATTTCAAATTAAATATTGCAGTGGGGGTGGCCACTCCTCTGCAGAGTTACTCCCTCCCTTTACCTGACATTCTATCTAAATTTAAAGAAAAGCCATACATAAATGGGGACAATGTCACCAGCTAAATAAATTTTCTCTAGCTCACTAAAAGCAGACACCTGGTGACCTTCAGATAACGTGGGAATGTGTAACGCCCTCCTGTTCTTTGGTCCTGTGCATCAGGTAACACAAAGCACGGACATGGCTGTGAGGTTTAACTTGTCTAAAGAGTCCCGGAGACTAGCCCAGGAGGTCAAGGTTGATGGTGGTGTTCCAACCAGAGGGGGAAGCAGACACCCTGGATGAGGAAGGCCCAACCCAGCTCATAGCCCACCTGCGTGTCCTCCTGCTACACCTCCTTCTCCTCCCTGCAAAAGCATAGCCATCTCCCTAAAGTGGTGGCCAGGAGGGTGGAGATGGGCTCCCCCATCTTCTTACTGCCCTTGAATCAACCTGATTCCCTTCCCACCAATTCTCATCTCCAGAGTGTTGGGCTTCTAGTGGAGAGCAGATGGACTTGCAACCAGCAACCACATCAAATAGCACTTCAGTTGTGTTTCTTCGAATACATTAATTTGCCTTATGGGAATCTATGTGTGTGTTTTCTTAATGTGACTCTGTCCCCTCTTGAACATCTGTTTTCATAGAAGTAACCATCAGGGTTTAGATAGAATGCCTTTGTGCTGTAGGCTACAGGTTCCGAGGACACCTGGGAGTGCTATGCTCATCAGGTGCAAGGCAGTGGGAGGATTTCAATGTGTTTTCTTGCTCTAATGTGCTCCACTCTGACAGCACAGGAGAGAGCCGCTTTCTTCCCACCCTGTGCATTGATCTGAAGGATCCCATGAGGGAGCCTTGCAAGTTTCTCTGGGGCAGCATATAGTTTGAAAAATCATTATCATGATTAAAATGTTTTCTCTAATATGTGGATGCTAATTCACAATAAGGCAGGGGGCACTAGGGAAGAATAGCGTTACCTTAAATTATGTAGAGGGAAGTGATGGGAGGGCAGGGGAGGCGATGTGGGATAGGAAAGACAGCAGAATGAAACAGACATTATTGCTGTATGTCTACATGTGACTACATGACCAATATGATTCTGCAACATGTACACCCAGAAAAATGAGAAATTACATCCCATCTATGAATGATATGCCAAGGTGCATAAATGCATTCTAGTGTCATGTATAACTAATTAAAACAAATAAAAAATTAAAAAAAATGTAATTGAAAAGAAAATCATTATTTTTATAATGAAAACTTCTGAAAGAACAGTCCACTAAAATGCTTTTTTCTGGCAAGACCACATCCCAAGATCATACTATATGTGTCGGTGATTCTCATGAACAAAGGAAATAAGTGGGAGTTTTGTGGTTCCTCCCTCCCCATTCCCTTTTCTTTGGCCTCTAGCCAGACACATGGCTGACAGGATTTTACCTGACGGGGAAACCTGACTTGTATTCCCTTGGGATACAGTCTGCATGTGGCCACTATAATTTTCTACTAACATTCAATAGTCCACATTGGTACTGGCAGAAGAGTGGTGTGCAGAGAAGACATTCAAATAAATAATGACTCTACCTAGTGAGTTAGGTTGTTTTCCTTTCCACATCTGATGTAATGGACTTGATAGCAGTTAGCCGACTGTCCCTAACTGAGGGACACCATATTGAATACTTGGAGTTGAACTCAGTAGTTGGGTAAATTGGGCATTTAGCATGGTAGTAGCTGCTTCAAATTACATATCAAGTTGCTATTATAGAGACCTTGCCTCATTTCTAGCCCCCCAGCCTGGACAGCTTGTTTATAAGATCACTGGACAAACTAGGCGGCTAGATTAAGAGGCTAGAGGTGGCTAGATATAGGGGCCTTTCCAAGAGATCTCTACATACACTCTTCTCCAACTCTCTGTGGTTAATCCTTGTGTTTTGCTCCTTTGAGAAGCATGGCCAGTAGACTCAGGTCCTTATCTGAGAGAACTTCTCCTTTCATACAAACCACAAGTTAAACATTTCAAGTTGGTCTCTTGGGAAGAACACCTGTTTTCCACTAACCTTTAGAGCCATCTCTGTGTGGCTTCCTAATGGCGAAGCAGTACATTCAGGCCATGTCAAGCTGCACCTTCTGTACATAAAACTCAAAATATGGTCTTGGAGAGCTTCCCATGAGGTCATGGCTGTGGTGATGAAGCAGGGTGACACTGTGCGGCTGGAGCAAGCATAATGGGAGCAGACCCACTTTCTCGCCCACTTGGGACTTGCTCAGGCCAGATCCTGATATGCGACTTCTCCTAAATGATGGAGGGCTTGTGGGGATGCCTGGAATTTAGAAAAGAAATATTTATTTTTTAGGTGTAGATGGACATAATGCCTTTATTGTATTTACTTATTTTTACGTGGTGCTGAGGATCAAACCTAGGGCTTCGCCTGTGCTAGGTGAGTGCTTTACCACTGAGCTACAACCCCAGCCCCTGGATTTTTTATTTAAGTGGATCAGAAACATTCAGTTCATTGTGAGCATATAGATTTCTCTGGTACCTTGGTCTGTCATGATCATGCAGTAACATTCTTGATGATCTCTTCTATGTCTATTATTTTTGTAGCTATACATTCAATTTCTTTTCTTTTTGTGTTTTTCTTAAAATTCTAATATGCACACTGTCCTTAACAAGTTTGTAATTAATCACTATCTTTTACCTCCATTGGGGAAGAAAAAAGAACATTGGGTCAATGGAAATCTAGTCACCCATCATTATATCCTATATTTTACCTTTTATATTTTATTTTGATCTTGTGTACTTGCAAGGTTGAAAATTATTATGATTATATTACGAATTTCAGTGGTTGCTTAGAATTATGGATGTTTTCCAATCCCTTTGCTCATATGTTCTTCTTTCTAGATTGAAATTCTTTTGTAACTACTCACATACTTAGAAATTCTTTCAGTAAGGGTCTCTTAATGGTAAACTCACACAGTATGAGTCTGAAAACATTAATTCATGTTCAGTCTTGAATGGTAGTTTGACTGGGCATGAAATACTCAATTGATAATTATTCTTTCTCAACACTGAATATATTATTTCATTACCTTTGATGTATATTGTTGCTATTGAATGGATTGGGACTGGACTATGTGCTATTTCTTTGCAAAGAATAATGTCTCTTCTCTTCAGATGCCTTTATATTTTCTCTTTACCTTTCCTGTGTTATGGTTTCAATGTGAGATCAATGTGGACATAATGGTTTCTAAATTTCTGTATTCTTTTCTTTCATCAAAACTAAACATTTTCAATATCTTGTCCAATTAACTTACCTCTTTCATTCAGAAAACCTTTAAATATATATATATATATATATATATATATATATATATATATATATATTGCCTTCTCATTTCATTCGTCTTGTTTCTTCATTTCCTATTCGTATTTTCCATCTATTTGCCTGTCTGTGCTACTTTCTAGGTTTCAGATATATCTTCCAGTTAATTAACTCTCTTTATACCTGTAGCTAGATTCCAATTTAATCTCTCTACAGGGGCAATTTCAATGCATATATTTTTCATTTTAGGCATTCTTTTTTTTTCAAAATATGTCATTTTCCCATGTTTTCCTTTGTGTAATTATTTTGAACATTTTAATTTTGTAGTCTCTGGCTTTTTGTTCAATTATAAACTCCTGGTGGGAGCCTAGTCCTAATACGTGTGTGTCTACAAGTATTTTCTAACTTTGGGCTGTGAGTTCACATTCGGTGGGACTTTAATTACCTGAATCTTGCAGCCCCTTGAAGGTGTTTCCTACTGACGATGTTTGAGTTTGTTGCTATCAGGTACTTCTCGAGTGTTACCAAACTTGAACAAGACAAGTTAATTATGCTTAAAGAATCACAGGAAAAGACCTATTTTTTTAAAAGTAGAATTACCTGAGAAAGAGGGCTTGGCTTTGCTTCCAAGCCAGGGTGTCTTGAGTTTGATTCTCTTACAAGCATTTCCCTCAGGCTACGCAGTACATGATTCTCTTTGTCATGCAAGTCAGATTGGCAGAACTGCTGGCACAAAGTCCTAGCACGGCAAAGAGCCTTCCCTTGACCTGGATCTCATTCAAAACTATTAGAAGTGTAAAGGTGGTATAGTTCCCTCCAGAATCTGAAATCCCTGAAAATGTTGTGTAAGTATTTTTGGTAGCAGGATCATTTTTGGTGGATAATTTTTGCTTTCCGTGTTGATAGACTCGAGATCTTCCTGTCCTCTGCCACTGTAGACAAGTTCCTGCTGTGGTAGGCTGCGGTAGCTTTATAAACTCACCTCTGTTCTCTGATGCACATTTCCTTATCAAAACACTTAGGTACAGTATTTCTACCTGATGATTTTCAGGTCCTTTCAATGTTCATTTATAAAGACAGTGGACTTACGTGGAGTCCTCTAGAATGCTGTATGGCCAGAGCCACTGTGAGTTTAATGGTGGCCCAGCAAAATCTTCATGTGTCATATTATTGCTTCAACATTTTTTCCTCTTCTTCATGTGAGGGACTCTGAGTTCATGAAATAATCAGGTCTGTAATCTTACTAAGGGACTCTGTGGTTAATCAAACCTGGCCCCTGTCCTTTAGTTCTGGACATTTCTTTTAGTGCCATATAGTCAAGTTGCTTAGTCCTCATAACAGATGAGCGAACGCCTCGCTGTCAGGATACCTGTGGGGGAAGGTTTCCTGGTGTTCTCGTGCTTGATGTCTGTAGTGTTGCAGTAACTTTTACGGTGCCCTAGGTCAAATTAAATATCTAACAGTTCTGTTGATTAAGCAGTTTGATATGTATCTATGTCCTAACAACCTAGTAACTATAGGAAGAGAGGTACATATAAAATGGAAGGAAAAGAGTTTTTATTCCATTCTCAAAAATTCTCAACTACTTAACCCACAGAGTGTGCACACGAGAAACATCGTTTGTATAAATTGAAAGAAAGGAGTTTTGTTGTTGTTTGGTTCAATGAGTAATGGGACATGTGTACCCGTCGGCCACTACTCAACTGGTCAAGTATTGGAATCATATTGAAAACTGCTGCCCTCGATTCCTGTTGATTTCTCCATTCCTGTAGTCTTCTCACCAGCGTGGCCCACTAAGCCCCCACTTTTCACAGACGTGCTGTTAATGAAGGTGTTGTGGTGGGATCTAATGTTGCATTGCACAACGCCACACACCCCTGCAAAGGCTGAAACACCGCTGTGGCTTTGCAGACTGTCACTGCGGGTGAGACTGCTCTGATCGCCATGCTGGCCCAAGGGTGTCAGGTAGTGACGCACACCTGTGTCTCGTGGTGGGACGCCACCTGTGTCTCTCCATCCTGGTGGAACCCCTGAGCTCCTCTCATCTCAGCATCTCCTCCCCTCCACCTACAGAGAACAGAGATTCCAGGTCCCCTGGGCCGTGTGTTTCTCAAGGCTGTGGCGACGGGTGTTCCCAAGGCCTCTCAGAGGCCATGGGGGGTGAGCACGGGCAGATGGTCCAGACCACCTCAGGAGTCTTCTCTCAAAGTCCCTAGGTAACTCTTTAAAAAATATCTCAATAAATGAATGACCTGTCAGCTTTATTTCCCATGTGTCAATGCTGAATGTAGAATTCAGTCAGTGAGAAAAGAAAACAATGACACCTAAATTGGCATGTTAACTTTTTAAAATCTGGTACCTGTCCCTATATTAGTAAGTTCAGACTTAGAATTATGCAGTTTTCTTTCTTTGTTCCACATGCTTAGAATCTAAACATTAGAGAAAATAGTATAAAGAAAAATATCTGAACCCCTAATAGTTAATATTGATAAAAACATTGTCGAATTGGCTTTTCTTGCTAAAATGCATGTTTCATAAATACCAATGTGTTCTCATTCCACATATACAAACCTGCACATTTAAGAAAATGATATTTCCTACCTAAACACAAAATCATTACTATACTTAATACACTTAACACCGATTCCATGGTGTTATCAAAGCAATTGGATTAGCTGTGTCACCAAGGGGTGCCAAGAGCCCCCAGGTCCCCCTTAATGCCGCCGTGTCCTCACTGTGTCTTCAGCAGGTAAGCGTGCCCACCCTGCACACCACGTGACCCACGCCTCCCACGTGTCCTCTGCTCTGAAAGCTGCAGCCACTCCTGGTGGCCTTTTGCTCTAGTCAGATTCCAGGTTTGATGAAACAGAAATTGGTGTGGGCAGCTCACCCAGGAAGGGAGCTTCTAGGAATGGCCTCCTATCTCTTTGTTGGGAGGCCACGGGAGCCACCTCTCCACTGCTGGGTCCCCCCTTTAACGCTGCTGTGTCGTCACATGTGTCCCTCCTCGCCACACTCCCAGTCTCTCAGCTCCTGCACTGTGACCCCGACCCGCTGGGTCAGTCCCTCCCACAGCGGGCAGTGAGACTCATCTCGCTGATCCTGGGGTGTTTCCAATCAGCAAAAGACAATCTGGTGTCTGCTGCAGGTCAGATGCCCCCGAAAGCCGACTTCGAGGTGAAGATCTCCTCTAAGAGTTTTTGATGGGTGCTCTTGGGATCAACAGTGAAGAAACAGGCGAGGAAGGAGGAGTTAGAGAACCCAGTGGTCACCATGGCTGCTCAGAAACGGGGACAGTCAGCCCCAGGGAGCTTCACGCTGCAGCGCTCCCGCAGATCTCCAGGGGGAGGAGGGGCTCTCCTCCTGACCTGGCAGGAGTCTGCCATAGCCCACGTGGGGCCTCAGGACCGAGGCGGGAGGACTCCACACCCTGTCTGCACAAGTCACAACCACCAGCTTCTGGCACAACCGTAGGACACAAACGAATAAATCCATTAATCGTGCTAATAAGAATGACCACTAACCCTGACCCTAACCCTGCGGGCCTCAGCCGGGGCCGTCACCACAGAGGGGTGGTGCCCCAGCTGTCAATTGTCCCCTCTTCCAGCTGCTCTCAGAAGGAGGCTTTGGATCACAGAGGGTGTGGCCCAGGGGTAAGGTAACAGTTATCACAGTGCTTGACAGACAGATGGAGAAGCGTCCACCAGTCATCGCACACGTGTGTGAACGGTCAGTCCATCTGCATGGCTAATAAATAATGAAATATGATAAAGCGTATTATTTTAATGAAGAATTCAGCTCTGGCCGGTTGCAAATCAAAGCTCCAGATGCCTCCCGTGTGCCTCACCTGAGTGGGCCCTGAGGCCTGTCTCCTCACTCCCCTACCTTTTTTTGACCAGGTCATGCTCAGTGAGCGTCTGGGTCCCGGCCCTGGTCTATTCAATCACATAAACTTCAGAAGTATTTCCTTCTGCAAAGAGCGAAAGATGGAGCAAGAATAGAAGTTGAGTCCAACAAACATTTAGATAAGTCTCAGCGGAATCCTGAGCCTGCCCGGCCCATTCCGGACTCACTCTTGTTGATCTGGATAATCGCATCCCTCTCTTGACGGGTCTCCACCGTCGCCGTCTTCCCGCTGTGGAACGAGCAGAGCGAGGCTAGGGATGATCTGTGGTGTCACCCCTCTGCTCAGGTCCCCCTGGACCCTGTCTTCTGCAGTCCTGACATTGTTCCCTGACTCTCATCCTCACAGGACTTCACCTGGCACGTCCCCACGCCTGTCTCGTCTGACCACCAACAGCCCACCCTGTCCCGTTCCTCACTGACCAGGGCTGCTGAGCACGGAGCCATTCCGTGGGAACGCCGGCAGGTTCCTGCCCCGGGATGGCACCAGCTGTCCCCATGTGAGGAACTCTCGCCCCTGACACCCAGCCCTGCCCCTGCCCCCTGCCAGGCCTCGGCCCCAAGGCCACTGGGCAGGCACTCGCGGAGGAGGAGGCAGGAGAGCGTCTTAGCGGTTCCACGTTGGTTTGCTTCTGTTTCCTATCGTGTCCAACCTGCAGAACTGAGGCCGTGTTGGTGGGGGAGGCAAGGAGGAAAGAAAAGGCAGGAAAGCAGGTTTCTGGCTAAAACCAAGGTGGGCGCGGGGATGGGGGGGGCGGACAGCGACGGTGCTCCCTTAGTCCTTCTCAGGAAAGAAGAAGTGGAAGGAGCCCAGACCTGCCTCATCCTTCAGAAAGGGGAGAGAGACCCAGAGACAGCGCTGGGCCGGCGCTCGCAGAACAGGGCCTGACGGAGCCGTCTGGAGGGCGGCTGCCTGCCCTGTGTCTCCTTCCTTCACAGGCCGCCTCTGGGGTGGTTTGGTTGAGCCCTCATGTCCCCGTTCCGCTCCCTGGAACACTGGATGCCCAAGAGCACGGCCCTGTCTACCACGGAGTCCAGGTCCTGGAACAGTGCTCAACATCAGTGACAGTACCCTAACGCCTTCCAGGCCCGCGGAGGGTCTGGGGAGGTGCTTCCTCATGTTCTGTCTGCTGGGACCACTCCAGGTGACCTTGGTGTCTCCTGGAGGACAGAAAGAGGACTCCCTGGTCGGAGAACGTGAAGAGATCTCTATCAATCTCATATTCACTGCCCTGAAGCTTGTGCACTTAGTGATATTTTTAGTCTTCTCCTGTTTGTGTTCCTTCCGGGACTACAAGACCTTGCATTCTGTGAGACGCTGGTTCTCACGTTGTGCTCCCTGCAGCCCTGGGGTTACTTTGCAGGCACCCTGGGAGCTGCCAGGGACGACCAGGGTGGAGGGAAGGGGAGCCTAAGGCTGTTGTCCTGAGAGGTGGTGCCATTCACACAGACCAAAGAAGTTTGAGAATCACAGCCAATTCCCAGGCTGCTCCACCTTCACCGGTGGCCGGTCACTGAATACTTGTGGGTCACCTGGAAGGTGTGAGCCAGGCAATCACGGGTGCCTTCATTCCAGTCTTGATTCACACATGATGTGCCCAGGTCACAGAAGGCTCAGGGGGGCTGGGGGAGGCAGCCTCGGGGTTCAGGAGCCTGAACTGAGAGGCCAAGGGGAGGGCGGAGACCAAGGTAGGTGGCCAGATGAGAACCAGCCGGGAACTTGTTCTAGCTCAGGTCCAGACAGAGGGCAGTTTCAGAGTGACAGGCTGGAGCGTCAACTTGGAGTGGGCTGTGTGTGGTGGTCACGGCAGGAGAACGGTGCTCTGCTGCAATGTGGGCTCAGAGACTAGGATTTGCCCTGGTGACATCTTCCTTGCCAGCTCGGGACCATGGTTTTGCCACTGCGGGTTTGACAGACGCATGCATCCACGTGCTTCCGATGGTCATTCTTATCAGCAGGACTAATTGATCTGTTGGTGTGTGTCCTGGGTTGTGCCGGGCAGCTGGTGGCTGTTGACTTGTCAGGCTGTGCATCCCCCCGCCTCGGCCTGGGACTCCACCTGTGCTACGGCAGACTTCTGCTCTACAAGATGAGCCACTCGGGACAGGGTCAGCCTGGGACGGCCGTGGGGTCCCTCAGAGCGGGCACAGGCTGCCCCCCAGCTGGCTTCCTCCTTTTTACCGGGAGGCTCTGCCCTGACCTGTTTCACGTCCTGCCCTCCTCTGTCAGGTTCGACTCCACGCTCTGCGGGTCCAAGCCCCAAACAAACAAACCAACAAATGTGAACACCATCGGTCTTTGACATAGTTACTCAGCTAAGAACAATCCCAGAAGCTCCTGTGAAACTCTGAACATCTGAGTGCCCCTGAAGATACTCCAGTTAGAATGTTTCCTCCCACAAGGTTGGCCGCAGTGCACTAAAACACAGTTAATTATGTAATACTGTTTCACAAATAATTTATCTTATCTGTGCTAAAATCACAAAGGGACCACGCTAGTACCAACCAACAAACAAACATAAAACCGAAACCCAAACCAAACCAAACAAAAACCCCAAGAATCTCTTTACACTCTTTCCTAGAAATAAAAAATAAGTGCAGAATGTGGGATAATGTGGGAGCTGACATGAACTCTTTAAACCAGGGGAGTGGAGATTAGCAATGGCGTAGATTCTGTTGGCTTTACTTTTATGCACCAGGGCAGTTTTGGGTTAGGACCCAGTCCTGAGCTCCCTGGGGGCCAGGTGTAGTCTGTCTTAGTATGTTTTCCTTGCTATCACAAAATACTCAAGGCCGGGAAGGGATAAAGAAAGGGATAAAGAAAAGAGGCATATTTAACTGACAGTTTTGAGGTTCAAAGTCCAAAACTGGGTAGATCCATTTATTCAGCTTCGGGTCAGAGAGCCTTATGGTGGATGGCATCATGGTGGAGCATGTTCAAGAGGGAGAGATGGAATAGTGCAGTGAGGAGGTGGTGAGGTGGGGTGGTGGGTGTAAGGGTGGGGCAGCCTTGCTCTTTTACAATAGACCCCTGATGACAATCACGGGGTCCCACAGAGCTACATTAATTCCTGTCAGGGGCAGTGCCCCTGTGCCCTCCCACGGGGCTCCACATGCTAACAGTCCAACCAATGTTCGCATCACCATTCTGAGGACCAAGCTTCCAACTTGGGTGTGCCCTGGGGGTCTCAGTCAAGCCATATCCAGACCTCAGGAGGTCCCTGCAATTCCGACTGAGCATTCTCCTGTGAAGCAGAGGCCGGATCCCGGTGAGCACGGCTTCCCCGCAGGTCTTGACCCGTGTGCTTTCTTCTTTGGCCAATGCACCTCTTTAAGTGGGGTGATCTCCTTGCATTGATCAATAGCCTACTTTGTTTGTACCACAGGAAAAATGCCAATATCCAACCTCTATTCAGGGTGAATGGATTCTAATGTATCTGAAGTTCAAATCAGTGAACTCTAGAAAAATACGATTGAAAATGGATGCTCTAGCGTATTCTGTGTGTCTGTGTGTGTGCGCGCGCGTGCTTGAGATTTAGTGCTTCAAAACTGTTGCTATTCTTGAAACCCATCCCCTGATGTTTTGCCGCTGAGATTGTTACGATGTCCCCGCACTGCACTTCCTGTTCTGCATCGTCCAGTCCTGACCTGTGGGGAGGCACTGACCGGTCCTTCCTAACTCAGCCCATTCTCTTCTCCCTACCCCCTACACTCAAGTAAATCATGTTTTACTCATATATTGGCATAGTTTGGAAAGTAGAAGATCGTCAAAATGATTAGTTTACAGACATTTTGTTGTCAAATACTTCCAGAGCTTCCACGCCCAGATAGATATTCTGTAATAGTTTTATGTCCACACGAGAATTTTTGTGGCCAGTTTTTCTTTACTTCATTTATTTTCCTGGCTCATCTGCCAGTACTGGAAGCCCCTAAATGGCAGAAGCCCCTTTTCATGCCCGCATACTTGTGGGGTCTCTACTTCAGGATTTACGTGTGGTCAGGCCTTGGTGGTCAGGGCTGGGGTGGACGTGGACAAGAAGGGGACGCTCAGGACAGCAGGTGTCTGGCGCCACACAGGTGCACCATTGCTGCCTTGTCTGCCTGTTGAGGCAGGAGCTCTGGCAAACGCAGGGAGAAAGTTTGGCCTCTGGTCATCTCTGAACGTCGGCTGTCCCCCGACTCTCTTTGCCTTTGGTTCTCTCTCAACAGCTGCTGTGGCTGAGGTCACTATGTGGGATTGCATACTCACATGTATACATCGTTTAAAGCCCAGAGAGTGGCACTGCCAGGCTCATCAATGCACATGAAAAACAGCAGCACAAATAAGGGGTACATGACATGGCCCAGGATGGCAATAGAGATGAAGAAAGGAGGGAAAGGCAGAGACGTCCCGAGAATGAGTGAACTTACCAGGGCTGGTCACCAGTCTGGAGTCTGTGTAGTTCTGACCTAGAGATGGTGCTGAGGGCAGGTAGTGTCACCTCCACTTCTAGAATAAGGAGACAGGTCTTAGAAAGGTGAACTAGTGTGCCCAAAGTCCAGAGCTCAGTGGCCAAACCAGTATTCAAAGCAGGGTCCTCCAAGCCACCATGCTGCCCTATCCCTTGGAGGAAATGCTTCACTTTGGAAAGAGCCAGTGACTTCTGGGTCCCTCCGAGTTCTTTCCAGTGCTCCTTTCTAGCACTGCTGAAGGACGGAGTCGTCAGCACAGACGTGGGGATTCTGCTCATGGACATCCTGAGTGCCCTCCAGAGACCCTCCTCTGGGCACAGCCTGATTATCATGTCACAAATGGAACTGGATGGATGGGGCATCCTGACCAACAACGTGACTCAAGCTGCTTATGTAGGGATTCCTGGGCACATGATCTGGGGCCTCCTCACTCAGCTGAATTCCTGATCCCTCTGCGGCTGCAGAAGGGAGCTCAGGATACCTTTCTTCTCTGTGTCTCTGGCTACTTGCCTTCAGCCCTGGGGCATTTATAGAAACCTCGAGGGGAAGAGAAGGCTGCACCCAAACTGCACCGGGTTGGCAGGTCAGCAGCTGTAAACTGCTAGGAAATGGCCAAGAGCCTCAAGGTTTCCATGTCTCAGCCAAGGGGCTGTTTACCCAAGAGGTTCAAGTCCTTCCAGTCTTGGGAAACACAAGTGATTCTTGGCTGACCAGAAACCCTATGAAGTCATTCTGACAATCATTCTGAAACCTCCCGTGGTTGTGGGAGGAAAGCCAGACCCCACCATTGGATGTGAAGAGGAGGCTCAGTGTGGACTTACTGTGATCCGAATGTCCACCCGCCCTGAGCTACACTGTACGGAAACGGGAACCTGCCTAGGAAGAGCCAAACAGGCTTGGTTCTGTGGGCTCCCGTGGTCCTGCAGGACGTGACCCATTGCCTTCTGGTCATGCATGTTCAGGACGCATTCATTTACTTGTTGACAAATGGGGGCTGAGCACCTGCTCTGCACTGGGCTCTGTGGGAACTGAGCACGATGCTGAGCAGAAACCAAGGCACCTCTACCCGGGGGATCTTGCTGTCAATAGAGGACATACAGAAAGACGCAGCTTTCAGTGGTAAGAGATCTGAAGAGAATGGTAACCAGGCTTTGAGAATGTACAAAATGGCTCAAATCTCTCTGCAGATCTGGAGATCTTCTGCTGAGCTTTGGAAAACATGGACCACTTTGTGGACCTTTGGGATAGAGGATGAGTTAGGATGAGGGTGGCAGCTGGTGCAGTGTCCCATACTAACCCGTGGTCCAGCTGAGCAGTCAGAGAGCTCCCTGGGATCCAGCTCCTCACCAGGCTCTGCTTGGCTTGCACACACTCTGTAAAGGGAGGAGAAGCCCTAGCTTGCCCAGAGGCAGCCTTGGCCGCGTGGGATCCGGACCCTTTCTCCATATCATCCTGGACACTGGTTTGACTCTGCCAGTAACCTAACCTATTTCTTTATCTGTTTCATTCAAGTCTTGGCTCCCTCCCTGACAGGCCAGTGCTGCCGTGTGTTCTTGCTCCACGCACCATCCTGACTCCAAGCCTCCTTCTCCTGTTGTTGGCTCCTACCGAGAACTACACACAAGGTCTACACTTGCAGCTTGCAGCGGTGACAGCTGGAAAAGAGACGGGAGCAGGTCCTGAGTGTGGGCCGTGCAGTTCCAGCGAGAAACACACATTGTGCTCCTTCTGTGCGTCCCCCCCACTGCACACTCGAATCTGGGTGGTGCTGCGTCACTTTCCCATTGAGATTTGCCCAGCTCTCTCCTGTGGATGATTTTTACCTGGGAAGTATGTGCTCCAAGAGATTTTAACACAGAATGGCAGTTCTCTTCCTTTATCATGTTTGTCCGGGCTGGGAGAGGTGTGACAAGGAGCTGAAAGTTAACTTAATGGGGAACCTGGGCTTTGTTTCCCTGGCAACTTTAGTTCAGTCCTGTAAACGGAAAAGCCCCTGGAGGCCGGTTTGTTTATGCATGCCCAGCTCTGCCGGGCCATGTGACACCCTGAGGACTCGGAACAGTGCTGGAGAATAGAATCTGGGGCATTTGTTTTAGCCTCTTCCCTCTCGAGTCTCACCCACCCTCATGGACATTACCCTGCAGCTGATGCTCATCCTCTTTGTAGAAAAGAATGGGGATGGAGGAATAGCTGGTGTCAGGACCCCCAGGCAGCACGTCAGCTGGGCAGGGTGCTTGTGCAAGGTGGTTTGGGAATAGTCGGGGCTGGAAGCTGGTCCTGCTGTTCAAGGTTAAAGTGGATAAAGGTCCAGCTGTTCAGGTGTTTGGGGCTGGAGCACTGGAGACTAGGAACAGTAACCAAGCCACACATGTGGACGTTGATCCTCGCGCTCACACTGACTTGAACACGTTACATGCTCAGGGCAGGCTTTACTAAGAACTCTTGGAGACACGGTAATCCACATTTATCCACTGGAGTAATCTGCACTTGAGAAGCCTGGTGAGGTTTGTCCACTTTCCCTACACAGGACATCTCATGGGCACATCCTGCAGGAGGCTTTATAATGCAGTAGTGGTTTCCAGGGTTCCTGTGACGGGCTGCCGAGATGGAAACCTTGGATCTCCTACATACTAGCCCTGAGTCCTGGACAAGCCTCTTACTTTTTTCTGCCTCTGTTTTCTCATCCATGAAGGACTCACCATGTACTGGGACTGTGGAGATGGTTAAAGGAAGACATCTATGTGAGGCTGAGAACAGCACCAGGCCCTACAGACGCCCCATTGACTGACATTGAACTGCTGCGCGTTCCCAGCTATTTGCCGCAGGAAGAGAAAGCGCCTTCCAGATCTTCTTCAGCCTTTGACAAGGATTTTGCAAGAGCCAACAAGGGCCAACATTTCCCCGGCTCCTTCCATGAGACTCGGACATCTCTCTTTGGTGGCTGCTCCTTTACCCAGTCGATGGGGCAGGGGCTTGGGAACACGGAGGAGGGGGAGGGCAGCAGGAGAGGAGGAGGAGGAGGAGCCCAGGCGTCCACTGACCCTAGAGCTGTCTGCAGGCTGAGCCCCCATGCTGCCTTCCTCTTTCCCAGCCAGAGCTGTTCACTCCCAGGAACTGGAGACTCTGCTTGGGACTCGGAGTCCTTTGATCCCGGATCCCTAGGGGCCAGTCGAATGTCTCAGAGGTGGTGTGCAGTGCTGCCTCCCGCCCTAAGGCAACCCAGCAGCACAGGGGACCTGGTAACACGAGGGACCAGCACCTGCGTGGCGCAGAGATGCGAAGGGAGACTTCCTTTTCAGTCTTAAGGTCAAGGTCGGTGAAAAAACAGAAGGCCTGGTTTTCTCCTGCCTTTCTTAAGCATTTATCTTGCCATTTTAGAAAGTCAGAGGGCATGGTGTTCGCTCCACACAGTGAAATTTAGGACCAAAATTGACTAAAAGAACAAAGGCCCGGCATTCCCTTTGACTGTGGCGGAGGACGAGTGCCACTTGACTGAGATGTGGTTGTCGGCGCCCCTCCCCGCCTGGGCATCCACGGGCTCATGTCCTGAGATCAGAAACTCCTAAACTCCAGACCCCGGGAGGCCATGCCTGCTGCCACCCTCTCCCAGCAGCCCCTCTCACATCCCCCTCGACCGTCAGTCTTTCGGGGTTCGGCGGCCTTGTTACCGTGTGGACTTCCGCTCGGGGTACTCTCCCTCCCCGTGTTCTCACCTCAGCTTGACCTTAGGCAAAAGCTTGCTCCCTCTTTCAGGTCAAAACACGACTTTCCTTGGCACACCTTGCCTGGCAGCCCCACCCCCTGCTGGCCATCCATCCCTGGGATCCATTTAGACACGATTCACATCTCACATTTAGCACCTGCCACAGGCACCCCTTTGTATAAAAATGGGGTTGAGTGTGTGTGTGTGTGTGTGTGTGCCCCTGTGTCGTGGCTTCCCCGACACCTCATGCTGCTCCTACAGAGGGGACCAAGTCTCACTGGTCTTTGCTTCCTCAATTCCTAGAGCAGCGTTTGCAGAGTTGGTGAGAGCCTCTGCGTGCGTGGAGGAGTGACGGTGTGCGCCTCCTGCCTCTTTCCTGCCGGGGATGGAGCCCTCGGAGGAGACCTCCCATGGAGTCCTCCTTCCCCTCCCTCCTCTGGGCCTCTAGCCTCCGCCCGCCCTGCCTTCTCTCTTCTCAGTTCTGTCTGGTCCTCACTGGGGGATCCTGAGACTCACAGTGGGTGTCCAGGTTCAGAGGAGCAGACAGTCCAGGAAGCCCTGGGTCAAGGCGACCCTCTCCCACCGTCCACAAGTGAGTGGCCTGGAAGACTCAGTCCTTCAAATGCTGTCCCTTCTTCATCCTCCTCCAGTGGAGTCTGGAGGCCGGGAAGGTTTGGGGAGCACGGAGGAGGGGAGGGGCCAGTCGCATGCCCGCCCCGTCCAGGTCAGGTGGTTGTTCACCTCCCTTACGTCTTATCTGTGCTGGTTTCATATTTTGTGGAAGGTTCCTTCCAGGAATTTTCAAACCCTCCTCTTCTGCTGGCCATTAGTTCCCCTCAGGCTGGATCAAACCTTCTTCGTGTAAAAAGCCAGACTTGTGAAATCCAAAGGCTGCCTGCAGATCAGTGGTGGAGCTGTGAGGTCTGAGTGATCCTTAATCCCGTTCGACAGATAAAGAGGCAGAGGCTTATGTTGGCTAAGTGATCGGTCCAAGTTCACACAGCGGCGGTGTGAAACCAGGGCTCCAACCAGCCGCACACGGTCAGCTGTGAGAAGAGAGTCCCCTCGCTGAGCACACGGCAAACACGACTGGATGTTAGCATTGGCCTAGGACGCGGTTTCTTGGTGTTTGGACCTTGAAGCCATTTTGAAATTGCTGCTACCGATATTAGATATTAGTGTTGATTTTCTGTGCCAGTTCTGTTAAATCATTCTGGCATTCTTATGGATTTTCCTGGAATATTCTATAGTTTGTACTTTTCAGAATATTGATCGGGGTTTTATGACAATTGTAATATATTTTTTATTTCTCTTTTTTAAAACCAGTAAATAAAATACCTTGTGATCCTTTCCATAGTGGGATGTGAAGTTTTACCTGATCAGGGAGTTGATATTTTGTGGGTATAACACTGTGACGCAGTTTTCTGGATCCATCTCCTCCGTGTAACTGGGCCACCTGGGGCTGGGCTGAGCTCCGAGAGAGAGTGCTCACCCCGTCAAGGCCCTGGCTTCCCCCCAGCACTAGAAAGAAGGAGAGAAGGAAAGAGAGAGAGAGAGAGAGAGAGAGAGAGAGAGGTGGGGGGAGAGAAAGGAGAAAGAAAAGAGAGGGCAGGGAGGGAGGGAGGGAGGGAGGGCAGAGGTGCCTGGCACAGAGTGACCTCTGCGGCTGAGATTGAGGCTCACGTCCAACCCCACACCCAAATCCTGCCTTTTATCTCACTAGAGTTCCACTCCCAGGTTTCTAGAGGATGTCTCTTCGCATTTCTCTCTAAACAAGTCAGCAAATGGCTCACGGTATCTTTCAAAAACAATTACGCAAACACAAACCAGGTTGTGTCTCTGAAGCTGATGTCACGGACGCGCCTCCCTAGCACGACCTGGGCCTCTCTTGCTGTTACTTGGGTTTGGTGTTTAGGAGCAGAGGGACTGGCTTGTGGCAGAGAAGGAATTCGGAGGCAGAGGCCTTCAGGAGGTGCAGGTCCTAAGTCCCTCCTGTCCCTAGACTTATGCCTCTGAGTAACTGCTTTGTGCCTTTGGTGGAGGGAAACAATAGCCAAATAGAGATAAGCCATTTGTGTTAATGATGGTGGGATCCTTTTTAGAGGTTTATTTTTTGAAAAGAGCATGTCTAAAAAGATCATCTAAAACTAGGGTCCATGTTTTCAGTGAACAGAAAAGTCTATTCAACTGGATATCAGTTTCTTTAAAATCACATCAAAGCTCTTGCCCTCTCTCTCATTCTCCGAAGCCCAAGATCCCAGTGCTGAAGGTGGTGGGTGAGAGGGAGGGGCCGGGACCAGAGCCGAGCAGGTCCTCCCAGGCCCCTGCGGGCATCAGCTAGAGCCAGGAGGCTGTTTTTTCCTTCTTCTTGTTCTCTTTCTCTCTCTTTTCTCTTCCTTCCTTCCTTCCTTCCTTCCTTCCTTCCATGGAGGACGGGGCTACCAGGAGTCATGTCGCCTCATACAGCTGATTTAAGGACAAAGGAAGATGATCCATAAAAGCATCCACCATAGCCCCTTGTAGACAGTAAACGTCAGGGATGATCGGATGTTAATTTCCGTCTCATGGAAAGGAAAATGGAAGCGTAGGAGGTGAAGTGATCTGTAGCATCATCTTTGGTGCTAGGCCTGGGATGATGGAGTATCAACATAGATTCTGTATAAAGGTGAACTCTGCTGTTGAGGGGCAGTTGAGGTAACTGGTTGAACAACAGATTGAATGTATGAGGGACACATGGAAAAGGAAAGTCAGATCTGTTAAAAGTCCACTTTTATTTTAAATCGTTTGGTAAGAACTACCACCTCAAACAGTCCTCGGAGTTTTCTCTGGCAACAGAACCCATCTGAAGGGTCCTTGGCTCCTAGCAGACCATTGACCAACCAGAGGCTCACGGTGAGTCCGTGGCCTCTCGGCATCAAAGCTTTCTTATTGCTGAGAAGCGGGTAAGAAACCTTCGCCCCGGATCCCAAGAGGGACAGTGGGACAGTGCATGTGACAGGGCTCCTGTTCCACAGTGTGCTCCAGAGTACAGTGACAACCGTACACGGGAAGAGCTAAGGGACCAAGAAGCCCCCGGGCATCAGTCTGAGGCAGTGATGCTGCAGGCCAGACCTGTCGCCCCCTTTCTGGATGCAGAGTGTGGCTCACCTGCTGCTGACGGTGCGGGATCCCACGGGCTGCTCCCCAGTGTCACCGATGGTGCTTCTGCTGTCCCACCCTCTGCCCCCCTGGCCACTCACGCAGAACTACTCGTGGGCCCAGGAAGCAATCATTCCTCCCTTTGAGCATCTTGGGCTTCTTTTCAGGAAAGGAGTCTTTCTCCCCGAGAACCAGAATCTACTTCTGGTTGTGGAAATTTTATAACTTGTTGAAAACATACTTTCAAAGAGAATCTTACAAAGAAAAATACTGAATCAGCTGCTGCCACTCCTGCAGTCACTGATGAACAAGAGCTGTCCCTTCTAGGCAGTGGGGGAGGTCCTGGGGGCCTCGCCTGTGATTGTGGGGGAGTTCAGTGTCACGTGAGCTGGGAAGGACGTCGTGCCTATGCCTGGAGTGTGTCAGTCCCCCCACACGTCACTTCTTCCCTTGCCGTGTCCCAGGTTCTATCTCACGTTTGGCTGCAGAACATTATTTTCCTGTCAGTCTTTGTGATGCCCCCGCACGCGCACTCCTCTGGGCATTCCTGGCTCTCGGATGGTTTTCCTCTCTCTCCTACACCTCATGTGGCCAAGCCTACCTGGTCCTACAGACGTCACTCGTCCATCTGACCAAGGTGCCATTTCACCTCGCGTGGCCCCATGGCGTTCCTCATGCCCTGTCAAGGACCTCGCTCAGTTCAGATGTTTAATATGGTTTTTTTCCAAGTCAAAATCTATATCAAAAATTTTATTTTTAATATTTTAAATTAGTAGAAACATTTTCTAGTCTTCCAGGGCCTGATATTTGTAAGACCACACTCAGTGACAATACACAGGGACTTCCTGCTTAAGTCCAGGCAGATACCCAGTATCAGCTGCAGCGCTTTTCTCCTTCAGCAAAGTCACATCTCAGTGACAGAATGACAGAAATGATGGGGACTGCCAGATTCTCTGGGGAGAAGGGTCTAATGACAGCACTCACCTTGGAACAGCTCTGGCTGGATGAAGGGAACTGAAGGCCGAGCCCTGGGCTGCTGAGATGGACCCCTGTGGAGTCATGGCCAGTCCAGGAAGATTAGCTGAGCCAGGAACCCCTTACTGAGGAGCGTTGAGGCCAGGGCTGCTGCTCTCTGTCCACCTTGGAGTTCTTGGAAGAGCCGGAAAACATTCCCCACACCTTAGGGTGGTGGTAAGGAAAAACTGAGTCTGCTCGTGGGAAAAGTTGAGCACAGTAAGAATCTAATCATGGTCAGCAGTGACCACACCCAGCATTATTCAGATGCTGCCATGAGTGTGTGTGTGGTGTGTGTGAGTGTGTGTGTGTGTGTGTGTGGTGTGTGCATTCCCACATCCACAAAGCAGTCCTGAGAGAAAGTCACTACTAATATTCACATTAATGGTGAAGAAGGTAAAACAGAGATATTACATAACCGGTCCTAATGCACACAGGCCACGTGACAGAGCGAGGGCTGGACCTCGGGGTTGGCCTTTCTGGTCTCCTCGTGCTCTGCTACACTTTGCTCTCAGTATTGCTGGTCTACAAAAGGTGGCAGGAGGGGCAGGGAGTGATTGTGAGAGGCTGATTTCACTGGGCCCCCAGAGGGCCCTTTAGCTACATCGCCAAAACGTTTCCCCACTGAGCATCTGTATTCATATGATATCTAGAGGCCCTCCTACCTGATTAGGCACTTCAGTTATTTCAGGAAGCCCCTGAATTGAAGGCAAAGGAAGTCATGAAGGGTGGGGTCTGAACTGTCCCAGGCTCAGGTTCACCTCCCTGGCAGGATCTCGGGTGTGGTCCGGGAGGTGACGCCCTATGGCTGTGTTTATGGTACTCATTCTAGGTGACTGTTGACCATGTGCTTTCTTAAGTGAAACCCAAGCCACAGGCCAGCATGCCTCTTGAGTTAGGAAGACTCTGCACACCCCAACATGGAGGAACAGGAAGGGAAAGGAAAAGGCCCGGCCAGGTGCGCTTCCCCTGCGGGATGCTGTCGGTGACTGCTGTGGGATCCACCCACAGGTTTCCTCTGAGGCACCGGGTGCCGGAGGCCGATGGTGTCTTTACCTGGGAGTCTCTAATTCCCACTTGTGGAAGCACGATCATGGGAACATTTGCCCTGTGTGCAGGTGGGTTGGTGGCCTGTCCATCTCCCACCAGGGTGCCCCCCTGGAGCAGAGGCACCGGAACAGGATGAGGCTGACAAGTCTCTTTCCTCCCGTGGCCCGGCCAGCTTGTCCCACTGGGATCTCTGGGAGGTGAAGGGGGGCAGAGTGGAGAGGGTGGGGGACAAGCCGAGGTCTGAAGGTGGCAGTCAGCCCGTGGGGCAGCTCCTCACTCACCTCCGCACAGCCTGCAGACCCAGGGACCACCGTGGGCAGAGCGTGGGCTGGAGGAGCACAGGGGCAGCGAGAGGCCGACGCCGGCTGCAGCTTCTTCAGACTGAACTAAAGGAGCTGTTTAGTCAGACACCAAGGCGTCTGCCAGGCGCAGCCTCATGGCCCTGCAGTGGTCATCCTTCTGCAGAGATGTGGACAGGCACCTGCCCCCCTGCCGCTCTGAGGAATCCGGGCCAGGGAAGGAGGCAGTGGCA